GGTTTCCCTGGTGGCGTAGTGGTTAAGAATCTGCCTGCCAAGGCAGGGGACACGGGTTCGAGCCCTGGTCCAGGAAGATTCCACATGCCGCGAAGCAACTAAGCCCGTGCGCCACAACTACTGAGCCTGCGCTCTAGAGCCCAGGAGCCACAACTACTGAGCCCACGTGCCACAGCTACTGAAACCTGCGCGCCTAGAGCCCGTGCTCCACAAGAGAAGCCACCTCAATGAGAAGCCCGCGCACCGCAACAAAGAGTAGCCCCCGCTCACCACAACTAGAGAAAGCCCGCATGCGGCAACAAAGGCCCAGTGCAGCCAAAAAAAAAAAAAAAAATCCCAGTAAGAAAAATCATCAGGCATATGGGAAAGTTGGAAGGGAATTGGAGAGTTAGGAACCTAGAGTTCTCTGAAGGGTAAATATTCTTAAATGATGGAAAAAACCATGAACTAGGGCAACTTGCCTAAGATTTTCTCTCTCTGTGAAAGTGAGCCCTCTACTCCAAGATCAGTAGGTAGAAAATACAAGAGAAGGTTGAAGTGGGAGCAGCCTAGTGATAATTACACCTATGTAGGAGTTTCTGCAAGATGTCTGATAGCTAACAGTAAGTTTAGACTATAGGGGACCCCTGAGCCAGGTGTGGGGCTGCACTCTGCTACCATAAACAGTCCTAAAGTTTAAGAAAGTTCTTACTGTAAAGTAAAATGATATTTTAGAGAGAGGCCAATATCATAAATAATAACATGCTTTTAGTTTGTGCTACGTGTCCGTCAATGAGCTAGGAACTTTGCATGCACACAAACATACCTATCTTGCAAGGTGTGTATTATCTTCATTATGTAGATATTAAAAAACAGGCTGTGACTTTGCCCCAAGTCCCTCAGCTTAAAATTTTTTTTTTCTTTCTAAAACTACAGTTTCTACATAGAGTTAGTAGTGTTTTTTCCTCTGTAGTTTATCCTTTAGTCACAATACCATCTCACTTGACTTTGGGCAGCTTAATTCATCTCAAATTGCAGTTAAGAAACTGGAGAGAAGTAAATTCTCCAAGCAGCCTTTCTAGCAAAATCCCCAAAGTAAGTTTTGCTCCAAAACTAATTCAGGAGGCATCTTCATAAAGCTGCTGGTCAGCAACACTTGAGCAAGGAGAGTCAAAGATAACCTCTCTTGCAGGAAATGGATGGGGTCTTCATCTCTAGGTGTGCTGGATTCTTCTGTCTTTCCTTTAGGTCACTTTCCTCCTTACTGTATCTCGTTCTCTATCCTGGGAGGCTAACCTGTATGAATTTCATCAACGGGTTCCCTGTGCTTTGGCTTCCAGTTGGATTCAGTCAGTAGGGAGCTCTGGGCAGGAGACTGGATGGAGACAAAAGACTGAAATCAGTGTATTGATTTCCCAGGTTCCCTCCCTTGGGGTCACCTGGACCTAGCTGTATCCTTTGATTAAAGGCCACTGCCCCACTCAATGCAATCTCTCCTTCCAAGTCTCAGTAGCCATTACCTCCCTTTGTCCTTTCAGGTGTAAGGCTGTTCCTAGCCTCCAGTTACTGACCTATCCCTTGCCAACACTTTTTAAAAGGAGCCCTTCATTATTTTGAGCATGTCAACTATTTTCTCTTGGGACCCTAATACACCTGGTAAAGATAGGTGATCTTTTGGATTCATAGACTTCATATTTTATCCATGTACTTCAATCTTACTCTCATACATGTGACCTTAAATTCTTATGAGTCAACAGTTCTGAAGGGTCAACTGCTGGATTAAGTAACAGAGAGTGACTCACACCTGTGTGGTTCCCAAGTGGGGGGTAGTAGCATCAAGGAGACATAAATCTGAGAGATAATAGCTCAGGCCCCTATGACTTAGCTACCAAAGAACCCAAGATGCTGAACAGCTTTTCAAGTTTTGTGACTGTGGAACCTTCTGTGTTTCAGGTCCCCAAAGCTTTATACAAGCTGTTGGACTCTGCCTACTGGGGCCCTGGTTTCTCCATAACCTCCCAGGATACCTCTGAGAAATCAGCTTAGAAATCCCTCAGGATGACAACTTTATCCTGTTGGCACACTCTGTTTTTTCTAAAGACAACGTTTGAGCTAATATCCTAATTTTAGAAAAAGACTATCAGGGCTTCCCTGGTGGCACAGTAGTTAAGAATCTGCCTGCCAATGCAGGGGACATGGGTTCAAGCCCTGGTCTGCAAAGATCCCACATGCTGCGGAGCAGCTAAGCCCATATGCCACAACTACCAAGCCTGCGCTCTAGAGCCCGCAAGCCACAACTACTGAGCCCACATGCCACAACTACTGAAGCCCGCATGCCTAGAGCCCATGCTCAGCAATAAGAGAAGCCACCGCAATGAGAAGCCCGTGCACCAAAACGAAGAGTAGCCCCTGCTCACCGCAACTAGAGAAAGCCTGCATGCGGCAACGAAGACCCAACATGACCAAAAATAAATAAAATAAATAAATGTATTTTTTAAAAAAAGACTATCAGCAGATTCCTGAGTTAGGATCATGTTTATCCCTGTGTTGATAGTGATAATAATTTCTTTCAGTTTATCCCTAATTTATTATTCACTGCTGTCAGGATGAGGTGTTTCAGGATGAGTGCTAATGAATTGCATTCTTAATAGTCTATTTTGGGCAAATAACCGTTTCCCACAAAGCACTTAATTTAAGCCTATATATTTATATGGTGCTTTATAAACCCCATGTTGGCATATGTTCTTTCTATACTTTACAAAAGAAATTGAGGCGCAGAGAGGTTAGTGGAATTGCCAAGGTCACCCATAAAATTATTAAGGGGCAGAGTCCAAGGACTGTTGCTCTCACTGCAACATAGTTGCTTTCACTAGCCCTGAGAAGGTTCTGAGAGTCCAGCTTAGGCGTTCTTGGCTAGAGAAGTTGCCATAGTGTTTTTGTTTGTTAATATTTATTTTTGGCTGCGTCAGGTCTTAGTTGCCGCAGGCGGGATCTTTCATTGCCACATGGGCTTAGTTGCCCCTCAGCATGTGAGATCTTAGTTCCCCGACCAGGGATTGTACCAGTGTCCCCTGCACTGGAAAGCGAATTCTTAACCACTGGACCACCAGGAAAGTCCCCATAGTTTAGAAATACTAATAAATGAACATCCTTTACAATTAAACTGAAACCAGGACTTTAACCTGTAAATTGTTAAATTTCGATTGTACTTCTCTTTTGGGTCTACATTTGAACCTGAGGATCTTTTACCCCTTTGTGACCACCTTCAGGGCAAGAAGTGAAGTATCTGTGAGACTTGGCCCTTAGAGGGCTATGAAAGGTTGCAGTCTTAGAATTTTTCTTTGTCCTGGCTTGGTTTGAAAAGGATAATGAAGTCAGGTGACTGGAAAGATTCTTTACTTCTTCCTTTCTCTCCTCCACTATCTAGCAACTATCAATGATTTCAAAGTATCTCGGTTTAAGTAAAGCATCCAGTGAGAAAAAATTGAGATCTAAAGGACCTCTCCAACCCGGTGAAACAAGCTCCAAGCAGAAAGCGGGTAGACTCTGGAGGACAGCCAGATTTGATGGAACAAGCTATCCGATGTGTGAGAAGTGTTCAGAGGGCATTTAAAAACCTTGAGGGTAAAATCTATAAACGAAGTTTGTAAGGATACAAAGGGAAACGGATTGCTGAGTAGAAGCAGATCGCAAAGTTAGGAATAATAGCCCAGGGTGAGTTTGAAGTAACCGCCATCTCACAAGATACCATGTTTTCTCCTTTAGAAAGGGTTTTCACGTACATTATCGTACTTGAGCCTCTCAACCCCATTTTTCAGGTGAGGAAACGGAGGCTTAGGGTAGAGCTTTGACTAGGCAGGATCACAAGCAGTAAAGGGCGGAGCTAGAAACCATCTCAGGGTTCTTCAAACTGTTCCCAGCGGATTCCTGTCGAGGGCTTTTAGGCAAAAAACCCGGAGAGGAACTGGCGAGGCTTCCTTAGCTGCAAGGCGTGGTCTGGCCTCCAGGAGGCGCCAGCGGCAGGGCGGCCTAGGGCTCCAACCCGGTGGGTATCCCCGCCACGCGCCGGTAAAAACGAGACTTGTAAATCCGCAAAAGCAGCCACCGCCCGCGCGAGGTCTTTAGGTCCAGGCAGTGGGCGGGGCAGGCCGTCCTGCTCGTCCCTCTCATTGGCCCCCGGGAGTAACGGACAGGTATCTGCACCCAGCCCGGACCAGAGGAACCTTACGACACACGCTAGCTGATCTTCGGCGCGCAGGGCTCGAGTGCGGCCCGGGAGTCCGCGAGAGGAGGCTACGCATGCGTGCAATAAAATGCGCTTCTCGGCACCCCTCTGGCTCCGCGAAGGGGAACTCCTTAGGGAACTGCTGGGGCAAACCCCTAACTTCACCAGTACTTTGCTGGGGTTTTTTTTGCAGCCTACCCCTCTTGCGACCCAGGTTTTTCCAGCCAAATTCCCTTTATGACAAGATTTCCTGATGTGAAACTTCAGTCACTTACGCTGCAGCTTCGTTTTATTTCTCCAAAAATACCCTCCCCCCACCCCATAAAGCATTCTACGAAAAAGTCCCTCTTATCTCGGTCCAGAAACGTGCTCGGAGTACCCTCCCTAACCCCACCTAAATTCTACCCGGGGTCTCCTGGGCCCTGGTTCATCTCCACGCACCATTTCTTAGCTTGCCTCCTTCAGGAAATCTTTCATGATAAACCCCGGTGGGAGCGCAGCCATCCCAATTACTCGGGAGAGAGCTCAAGGCCAAGTTGAAGGCAGAGATTCTGGAGAAAAAGGGCTCAGAGCAGCCGACCGACTCCCGCCCCGCCCCCTCCGCGAGTAAAGTCAGGCAGCGGCTCGGGGACACAGCTGTATTGGGAAGGGGAGGCTCCTACACAGTAGGAGGAGGCACGTCCCAGGAGGCCCGAGGACTGTACACAACGGGCGTGGCGCAGCCCCGTCCGTCCGCCGTGCGGCCCGCCCGGGGCCCAGTCTGTGGAGGCCCAGAGGGGCGAGTTAAGGCAGCTTGGCTGAGGGAGGTGGGGGAGTAGGAGTGTGCCAGTTCCCCCCGAAAAGCTGGCTCACTGAGGGGGCGAGCTTCTCACCTCCCACTCCTCTCTCGAGGACAGGGGGAAAGACAGTCGGCAGTCAATAAATACACCCGGGGCGGGCGGGGACCCCGGGAGACTCTCAGAGTCCAGGAAGGCTGCAGGTGTGGAACAAGGAGAGAGGGATGTGATCTGTCCTTGGAGATGCGTCCACGCTCACGGCCTCTGAGGGCATGGGCCTCGAGGGTACCATTTGAGGCCTTGGAGCAGCTCCCTTTAAAAGTTAAAATGGTTGCCACTAGGGACGGCCGACTGCGAGGAAGGCCCGACGAGGGGAGGCTTCAGGGGCACCTGGGGCTTCTCGACGTCCACCCTCTTCAGGGCGCGGCCCCGGTGCCCCTCAGGCCGGCCCAGGTACAGGAGGTGTCTCCCGGTACCCCCGGAGTACCTGGAGGGGCCTCCCGAGGGGACTCGGGTGAGCAGCGCGGGGGGTGCACGGTGCGTGGAAAAGGGCAACCTCCGGCTGCCGCCCACCCCGAGCCGGGGAGCTGGGGCGGAGAGAGCAGGCCGGGTGGCGGGGGCCGGGCGCTTGCCCTCCGGGGGCACGTCCAGCCTCCGAGGCGTGGCACAGTCCCGGGGGAGCAGGCAGGGGCCGGCAAAGAGGGTGGGGGCGGGGGCGGGCTCGGGCGGCAGTGCCCGCGAGGTGAAAGGGGCGGCGGCCGGGGGCTCGACCTCCTTCCTGGGCGGCTGCGGGCCGTGCAGGTAGCGCAGCAGTTCCTCCAGGGTGGTGACTTCCACGGCCTGCCCGGGACAGCCGGGCGGCGGCGGCCTCACCAGCACGCGCGGCGCGGGGCCGCCCGCCGTGTTCCCGCCCCGGGCGCGGCCCCGGCCCTCCTTGGCGTTGTTCCCGTTCTGGTTCCACTCCCAGGGACCCCCGGCGTGGCGGAGGTGCTTGACCGGCAGCTCCGGCGTGGACTCCGGGGTGGGCAGGCAAGCCAGCTCCGGCGGGGGTACTCCCTCGGGAGGAGGCAGGAAGGTGGTGTAGAGCTGGGGTGTCTGTGCGCCCCCTCCGTCCTTGGACGTTGGCTGCGGCTCTGGGCCCGCCCCGTGCAGACGGGCCAAGCTGCGAAGGGATAGAGGGCGCGGGAGCCCCGCAGTCTCGATATCCTTGCTCCGACGTCTGTGGGCGTGGCGACAAGCGCAGGAGACCAGGAGGCCAGAGACCGAGGCGCCCAGGGCGAAGGCTGCGGCCACACAGGCCAGGAGGAGTGGGATGGGGACGGCGCGGGAGACTGAGGCTGCCGGGAGGTCCCGTCGCACGCCTGACGACCGAGAGGAAGGAGGGAGGAGGGAGGCTCAGGGAAGGTGGGCCAGCGGGATGGCAGGTTCCGAAGTGTCGCCTCTCTCCTGCTGCTGCTCAGCTCCAACGCAGCTTTGACCCTCTTTAGGAATCACCTCCCCTGACCCCTCAACACACACAACCCACCGAACTACCTTTCACACGCAAGCTAGAGCCTGGGCCTGGGGAGTCCCCATCCCAGCTCTGGCCCCTGTAGCCATGCCAAGAACAACTGCCAAACTCTGCCCGTGCTGAGGGAGGCGGGGCTGGGAGGGGAGGCTCCAAACAGGCATTATTAGTGAGCACCAAACAGCGATCAGTGAGGGGCTTAGAATTCTTCAAGAATCAGCATCCCTCCCAGCCAGCCCCCTTACCCTGAGTGTGAGCTCCAAGAGTGGAAGACTGGGGCCGGGGGTGGGCATCACTGGGGGGGCTTGGGGTCTCAGGGGAAGGGCCAGGACTCAGAAGCACTGGTGACAGAGACCAGGTCAGAGCCAGTGAGGCTCCTGCTCTCCACCTCTGATACCCATTGAGTGGCTTCCCGCACCCCCTTTGGAGCCCAAAGGTCCAGAAGTGCAGCCTTCATTTTCCTCTGGAAATGGGCGAGGGCTCACTATGCAAGGCACTCTTTCATTTATTTGTTCAAAAACTATCTGTTAAGCACCCTATTATGTGCCAAGCACTGAGCTATATGCTAGGTATTTGGAGGATGCTAACCCTTTTCTGAGACTCTCTCAGGGTGTCCAGGGTGCTGGTCTGCTGCTGCCATGGGGCACAGACTTGGGTGAGTGTGGGCTGAGCAAGGTGAAGTTGGGACAGTAGAACTCACCATAAGCAGAATCCCCTGTGCCAGACTGACTCCCAGTAGCTCCATCTATGAAAAAGGGAGAGAGAGGGTGAAGATAGGGGCAGAGGGAAGCCTCATGAAGAACTGATGGGCATGACTGTACCACAGAAGGAGAGAAAGACAAAAGCCCACACCTGGGATAGTGTCTATGGCCATCAGAGCCATGCGCAACAATGGCTACAGCTACCCCTGCCGCGTCTGTTTACCTTGGCAGTCATCATGCTCCATGGATTCCTGGTTCCCAGCTGGATGCACATCAATCCTAGGAGGAAATGGAGGTGGCTCAGTGCAGGTATACATCTTGCCCCCATCCCCCACCCTAGCCCTCAGCTTCCTCTCTTAGTGGGGAACTTTCTCCTCAGGAGATCCACGAGCCTCTCACTTACCCGCCAGGTCCCCTGATATCCACACAGCCTCTGGAGCTGTCCCATCCACAGTATGGGTCCTGAGAAGCCAGACAGCTCCTAGGGAAAACTGAGTCATGTGAGGCTGGGACCCTCTCCACCCTAATCACATTCCATTCCCCTGCCTCTTCCACTCTCACCCTGGCCTGCAGGAGGCTCTTAGCCTGATACTCCCATCCTATCCACCCCAATCCCTAGTCCAGTCCCTGGTTACTGCCCACCTGCAGAATGCTTGAGATACCCACCCCCAAACCATCCCCTGCGTTTCCCTGCCACCCACTATGCCTGTGTTCCTGTGTGCCTGCAGGCCCAGAGCCCACCCAGACAGGGCCTGACCTCAGGTCCCTCTCACCTCCGACAGGCCCCATGCCGGGCACATCGACTGAGAGGGAGGTAGATGATACAGCCAGAAAAAGCCACAAAGAGCCTGTGACCTTCGGTGTCCAGCTCCAGCCCTGTAACCCGCCGTGCTGTTTGGGCTGCCCGCTTCCCACTGCACCTAGGGTGAGGCCAGAAGGAATCAGAGATGGAGCAGGTGAGGCTCCTTTTTCCCTGGGTGAGTTAAAGAACAGAAGCGGGGGAGGCATACAAGCAACTGAGTACAACTCATAGGGCTACTCTGCCCCAACACAGTGTCCAGCTTCTCGCCAAGGCCCTCTCTCTTCCCCACAACTTCCAATATTGGAGTCCCCACCCCATCCCTATATCCCCATCTACCACTCCACATCCCATCCCTGCTCTGCAGGGGGCCTGCTGGACAAAGGGCTCACCGGGAGGGGCTGTAGGCATCGATCTCTTCCAACAGAATGGGCTCAGGGCCCCCAGATTGCCCCCATGGGGGCAGCACCTTCAGCACTGTCCCATCGTTGGAGCCAAGGAACAGGACTGTGGTATTACTGTAAGGACCAGCCATGCCATCCACAGCTACCTGGGTCAGTAGGGCCCTGGAGGGATAGGCCTCAGGTCAGGACAACCTGACCAGTGGAAGCTTGAGTGTTTCAAGGACAGCGCATGTGTCTGGGTACCCCCTTCTCTGCCCTTCCCCCAGCCCAGTGTTTCCTTCTTAGCTCTCTCCCTTCCACTTTCACGGGTTCTTCCTCCTACCAATATGATTTACCTTGTGGGGTCAGGGAAAGACTAGCTGAGGCGGGGAAGGCAGTGGTCAGCATTTTCTAGCCCCATACCTGCTGGTGAAGGTAAGCAGAGGTTGATGGGTGGCAGGTGGCACGGCAGGGTCCAGGAGTGGGTGAGCCTTGATGAAGGTCAGGACATCATCAGGGAGGTCTCGAGAAGAGGGGAACAATGCAGCTACACCTACTCCTGCACAGGATCCTGGCCTGGTGGACACAAAGGAAGAGGGAGCCTTAGGGCAGGGAGCTGGGGCTTAGTTAGGCTCTGTGACCACCACCTACCCACTGCTCCCAAACATGATTGGTAACCCTTGTTCCGCCTACACGCAGACATTCACACTACTGCTTCCCTTCCCTGCTGCCAACCCTCTACAGCCCCCTCCCCAGGCCTTGGACACCTTGCCCTCTCCTCATAATCCCATTTGGGGAGCAGACACTGCTTGTTTCTACCTCCACAAAGGCCACGCCCACCCTGCGTACCTGGGGGAGGGGACCCTGTCCTCAGACACAGGGGTCCAGGCCCCATCCAGACTCCTCTGCTCCTTGAACTTTCCCTCAAACCCACGCTCAATATCATCCAGGTAGAAGGCACAGACCGCAGAGCCGGGGATGCTGAGGGAGCCAGAAAAGGATGCGGGCTAGGTGCTGGAAGGGACAGCACAGTTCCTCCTAGGTAAGACATGGCAGCTCCCCTTCATATACCGTATTAGGGCAGAGCCTGAGAGGGTGGGGCAGCCCCTGGGGGCCACGCTAGGAGAAAAACGGTGGGCAGAACAGCCAACTGGCTTTGAATGGAGCTTCCGCTCACTGCCCTCATCAATAGGCGTTGAGAGAGGAACCTGGATGCTGGTGGGGCAGGGGACAGATTGGGCCACATTGGTTAGTCTGGTACCAACCTATTGGTCTGGGTGGTGAAGACCCCAAAGAGAGCAGAGCGGCCATACAAGTTCACAGGCCCTGTCAAGGCCTGTAAGACGTCAAAATAGAAGGTAGAGTCCCCAGGGACAGAGCAGTTGAGCCGCAGCTTCAGGAAAGATGTCCAGTGGCGGTCCAAGGCCCGAGGTGAGCCGCCCATGTCACGCTTACACACACGGGCCACACGGGAGAACTGTACCTGTGCGTGGGAGAGTTGGAGACGAGGAGAACGGTGAGAGAGAGCCCCAGGGCCAGCAGGGTGAGAGCAATGTGGTGAGTTAGAGCACCAAGAGACAAATGTTAGGGGCACAGCAAAGGAAGGGTGTGGTCGGTCAATGGGGGTCAAGGTGAGGGACCTAGCAGGATGCGGGGGCAGAGGCCTGGGGGCTACTCCAAGTTGGGGGCCTCAGAGTCCAGGGGATTGCATTGTGGAGATTAGGGCCAGGAGCCCCTAATCTCCCCTGAATTACTGGCTCCTCACCATCCAGCAGAGCCCTCTAGCTACCCACCCCTGGTGCCCACTTCCTTACCCTCCCCAGCCGGGCGTCCTCCACAGAGACTTCTCGGAAGAAGAAGTAGACATGGTCTCCATGCTCCAAAGCATGGACAAAGTGTGGCTCTGAAGGGGGAGTGACAGGAAAGGTACGGAAGAGAAACTACACCTGTTCAGAAACTCCTGGCCCCCCACAGCCTCTCCCCTCTGCATACATGCTCACCATTACCACCATCTGCCTGCCATCGACCGCCCCCTGCACCTCCTCCCCAAGAGCAGCCTCCCTGCCCTAGGCCTGCCCTGACCTCGGAGCCACTTGGAGTCGTACTTGGCGGAGCGGAGTGGGGGCTGAGGCCCAAGGCTTCTGTAAACCACAGCATCACTGGCCTGGAAATCCGCGGCTGTGGCTGAATACAGGCTGCCCTCTGGAGGGGTAGGGTGGGGTCAGGGGAGGGCTCAGGGATCTGTATCTTGGCTCTTCTTGGGCCTCCCACACCCCTCCCTTGGCCTGACCTTGGCCCCTACCTTAACCCTCCACTCAGGAGCATGGGGGAAAGACCAAATTAGGAAAGGGGCTAACGTGGGAGTTCCCTCCGGCCACATGCCTGCTGCTCACATGCCCAGGTGCATACCTGCAAAGACGGCCACGTTGGACTGGGTGGCATCAAAGGGGCATCGAGCCTGCCCGCTCAGCTCCTCACCCTCCTGCTGCAGCGAAGTTATCTGGAGGCAGAGGAAACAGGTTCTTGGACCCCTTGGGGTGTTGCAAGTCTGGCTCCATAGCCCACTTCCTCATGTCCCCTTGCCTCCTTGCTCCACCCCTTCCTGACCCCTCCCCTCTGGGCACTCCTGTTCCCCTACCCCTGCTGGTCCATCCCCACTGAACTGATTGCCCAGCTTGGGTTCTTCTCCCACTCCAGTCCTGATGCCCCGCCCTCGCCTTTGTACCCCATAGCTGCGGCACACGGGGCTGAATGAGTTCGTTCCACAGGCAAGGAGTGTCTGGGAGTCCCAGGGAACGAGAACACGAATGTAGTTGTAGCACTCGTCCTAGAAAATCCAGAATTCTCGGTCAGTGACGGGGCTCCCCGGGACTGGGACGGGGTGGGGGTCACAGGAAGTAGGGCTGCTCCACTTGAGCCAGGCAGAGCAGTGTGGGGTGAAGTCCCAACTAAGCTACCTACTCCTAGTCCTCTGGCCTTGGGCAAGTTCTTTGGCCTCTCAGAGCCTCACTTTCCTTTTGTGTGAGGTGTGTAAAGGAAGCTAAAAATCATGAATTCCCTTTCCTGTACATTTTCCTCTGTGGACCAAGATGAGAGAAGTGAGGGGAAATGGGCACAGAGGAGGCCACTTAGACAGAGCCTAGAGGCAGGGTCATCTCCTTCCCTCAAGATTCTCATCCCACTCCTCACCGTCAGCTTCCCCCGCACGGCACAGTTCTCCATGTCTTGACTCCTCCATGTTAGATACTGGCGGGAGAAGTAGAAGGGGAAAAATCATGGGCAACCTGGAACCACCTCACATTATGCCTCCTCTTGGAGTCTTCTACCTACCCACTTGATCCCGGTTAGAACTTTCCCAGCCTCATCTCCATGCCTCAACCTCCTCCCACACAGCCCCTCACCTTGTTGGGCACTAGCCCCTCCCCTTCTTCTTGGGCTTGAAGATCGAAGGAGAAAACGTGATCCCTGAAGAGGCAGGCAAGGAGGAATCAGAGCCAAGCCATGGATCCCCACCTGAACTCCTGAGCCTCCCACCTTGCCCGTGTTCAGCTGCTCAGGGACAAACAGTGCCCTCTCTCCTCCCCCTTACTCCACAACTTGGCAGTTGTGCTCTGGGTCCTAGCATGCCCATGTCCCATGGCTTATACACCTGCATGTGTCCCCTGCAAGATGTTGCAGTGGCCATGCAGGTCCCATGCCTGCCCAGCAGCAGGCCTGTCAGCCCCACAATGGTGCCACAGCCAGTTTACCGCGCAGCCACTAGCAAGGTCCGGTTCAAGGTCAGGAATCTCTGAAAGTCCAGCCCAAGTTCTGCAACCACAGCGTCATCTTCCAGGCCCCGGAACCAGGATAATGGGGAAATACCTAGAAGGCACAGAGAGGTGGGTGCTGAGGGCCAGCCAGAATACCACGTACTCCCTCAACACCCTCTCCAACCAGATGAAACCCAGCCACAGACATAAAATGGATATGTGAGATGAGTTGTGAGGTATTAATAAAGCTATTAATAAGGCTATTAATAAATGTAATACCAGCTAACTCTGAGCACTTAACCTCTGCCAAGCACTATGTTAGCATGTTAGATGCATTGTCTCAACAACCCTATGAGGTAGGTACTAACATTGGCCCCATCTTACAGATGAGGAACCTGAGGCTTAAAGCCATTAAGAAATTTGCACAGCTCATTTAGCTTGGAAGTGGCAGGCACCCCAACTGAGATCCAGGTCTGTCTGACTCCAGAATTGAGCCCAACCCCTTCTTGGAACTGCCTTAGGGCTAGCAATTCCCTTTCACTCCCACATTGTACACTGTCCCATGTGGACCATTTACTCACCCCATTTCTCCCAGCCCTCTCTTTGCACCCTCCCCTCAAGGCTCTTCACAGGCCACCTCAGCCCTCCAAGGTTTCTGCCTCCTCTGACCAACTCCAGCATCCACCTGGCCTGATCATGGAAACCACAGTCATCAGCGTTCAAAGGGACCCCAGAGTTCAGAGAGAGATGATTTAACATTCGTATGGTGCTTCGAACCACGTCTGGCACATGTGTTTGCTGCTCTTATCTATCCCCCAACAGTTACTCCCAATAACCTAACTGCCATTCCTTCATCCTGAAAATTACTCTAAATCCTGCATATATAACAGGAACTTGCAAACAGATAAAGGTCCTTCTCAGAAAAAGTTGGCTGGTGGTTTCCCTCACAGTGGGACCTAGACTTGGTAGTGATAACGTGGTGGAGAGGGAGGTAAGAAGTGTTGGGAACCACTGAATTAGTCCCAAGCCTTCATTTTGTAGCTAATAATAATAGCAAACATATATAACTCATTTACTTTGTGCCAGACAGTGTTCTCAGAACTTTACCTGTATTACCTCATTTAATCCCTAAATAACTCTATGAGGTAGAATACTATTATTAGTAGTATTTTTTTTTTGGCTGCACTGCATGGCTTGCAGGATCTTAGTTCCCCAACCAGGGATTGAACCCGGGCCACCACAGTGAAAGCACCGAGTCCTAACCATTGGACCACCAGGGAACTCCCGGTAAAATACTATGACTACCTTCATTTTGCAGACGAGGAGACTGAGGCATAGAAAGGTTAAATAACTTGAAGAGCTCACACAGCTAGTGAGCAGCTTAGCAGGGATTCAAACCTGCTAAGGTCTGGTCTGGCCGAGAGTCCACATTCTTTATCACTGAACAATGCTGCCCGGAAGTGAAGGAAGTAGGCCCACAGATGAGAAGTGACGGACCTGAGGTGCCAGCTCACTCTACCTGTCTTCTCCCCTTTTCTGGTCAGGCTCTTTGCTTCCTTGAGACTGAGAGCCTTCCTGCACCTTGCCACCCACACAAGGGGTCTCAGTGTCTACCTGCCAAGACTGAGTGCTGAGCTCATATAGAGGGGGTGAGGTACCAAACACTCACCTTGCAGGTCAGAGGTCAGCAGAGGGAGGGGGTCCTGGGGAAAGGCAGCCTGGGTGTGGGGAAGTGAGAGCAGCAACAGCAGTAGCAGCAAGGGCATGAAGCGGGGGTCACGGGGCATCCTGTGTGGGGCAGCTCAGGCCCCAGGGGGTGCCCCCTCACCCATATGCTGGCCCTGAAAGAGAAGACAGAAAAGTGGGGGAAGGGGCCATATTTCCTCCACCTTCTGAAGCAGGCGGACCCCTTCCCAGGTCTATCACCAGAAGACCCAGTGCAGTAGGGAGAAGAAACCTCTCTCTGGCACTACCTCAGTCCCAGCCAGCTGTCACTGTCACTCAAGGCCCTTCCCTGTCCAACTGGCCCAAACTGGCTGGTACGAAGCCTGCCAGCATGACCCCAGGTAAGGACAGGACCCGCCTGCTCCCCCTCCCAGCCTTCTCACTCAGCCTTTTCTCCTCTCTCCTGACTGGGCCTGGGACATTCAGTAGGTGACACCTCGTGGCCCCCCTCTTGCTAACCTCTTCTCAGCTATAATTAGACACTGAAGCCTTAAAATTATAAATAGTGACTCCTTGGCACTGGGGAGGAGGAAGAGGGCACCATGTCTGCCTCCCCCCTCCCTCACGGACCCCCATGGCACCCGGGAGCAATTTAGGCGCTGTGCCCTGGTAGAGGCAGCTGCGAAGCAGCCATCATTGTCTAGGGTTGAGGAAGAACAGAGTGGGGGAGGCAGCCTAGGGGTCTTTGTCCTGGTCTAAGCTCACGCTTCTGGGGCCCTTCCCATGGCTAGGGAGAAGCTGAGTGAGTAGGGAGGGGAGTGGGGGAGGGGGGCTGTCTTAGCCAAAAATGAATCTGCATCAAAGCCAGATCAGAGGCTAAATTTAGCTCTGGCCGCAGCTGTCTGCCCGACCACTGTGCCCCCTCCCAGCCTGCCTAGCCCCCTGTTCCCTCCCTGACTCCAAAGAACCACTGCATGTGCTTAATGTGGGGAAGAGCAGACCCACCCGCTACGAGGAGCCAGGCATAGAAGGGGCTATACTGGTGAGGCGATATGGCTGAACATGTCTCTCCTTCCCTTCCCTTCCCTCTTCGGACTGCCTTGGAATGAAAATATAAATAATTCAATGACAGCCAGGCGATTGTAGCCCAAAGTCCAGGAGGAGATAGATATGGTGGCAGGGACAGTGAGACAGCCCTCCTTCCCACCCATCAGCTTCCATCAGCCTCCCACAGCCAAGCTGACCCTGGCTGGAACCCACAGTGGGAGGTGTACACCAGCTTCCTGCCTTCCCCTGAAGTTGAAGTGAAAGGCTGAGTAGGCTCGGGAAATCAGGTCAGGAAGGGTGAGACTCCTTCCTTTCTGTGAACAGACAGTTACCTTCACTAATCCTTAGTTGCCTGTCCCACCATGTCCCCTAAAGAAGAGACCCTGGGCTTCCAGGCTTAGCCCATTCCATCTCCCCAACAACTCCACTCTCGGAGCCAGGACCCAAGTGTACCCCATCCCCAGTCCAGCATCACTGGTGGGGAGGCTGACGCCAGATGGGGTCCCAAGAGAGCTGGAGGAGGGTAAGGGGTAGGAGCACCTAATGATGACCCCCTCCCCAGGGGCAGAGCAGTCAGCTAGCTAAAGACCCTCTGGTGCTGAAAGGCCAAGCCTCCCTCTGCCACCCCCGCCCCATGCTTCGGATGTTGGTGCTCCCAGGGGAAGAGAAAGGGACACAGCTTGTCTCCTATCCTCCCCCTCCTGCCCACCCCCCCACAGGTTGCCCTGGGCAACTGGTATCTTCACCCAGGAAACAACTTCAGTCTCAGGCAAGTGGGGAGAACAGTCAGACCCTCTTTCTGCTCCCAGGCCATGCCTGTTTCCATCCCCTGCCCTCAGAAGCTGTTGCCCTTTCCTTACCTGTGGTGGTGACTCCTGTGGGGGTTTGAGGGGGATAGGAGACCTCTGACCTGATGGAAGAAGGGACAGAAGGAGGGAAGAGGCTGAGCTATACCTCCTTACCACATCCAATAAAAGTGAATGTGAACATTCAGGAGAAGTCTAATGAAGCTAGGGTAGGGGAGATGCTGCCCTGGGAGTGGGGGGCACATTGACATTGAGCCTGATTACAAAGGTGCTGGCTGCTTCATGCCCAGAGATGTGAGGGCAGGGGCTGGGGCTGGCCCCTACCCAGAAACTCCTGGAACTGCAGGACCAGTCTTGGGAAAAGGGGTGACTGGGAGAGTTTGGAGGGCATGACGACCACTCCCACATTAAAACCTTCAGAATCCAGCAGGCTTCTTAGCAAAAGCTCCCTAGCTGGGGACAATAGAGGCTAATTTGCATCTCATTTGCATGCTCTTCATTTCTAGGCAAAATGCTCTGATAGCAAGCACCCCCAGCCCCTTCCTTCTTCCCTGAGAGCAGTCCCTGCCTCCCTCCCACCCAATCTCTCTCCACCCTACCCCCCACCTTAGACTGGATTAGTCCAGCCTCTAAAAACACTTGGTTGGCCATTGCATTGGCCCCCTAGACTTAACTATGACATATCTTTAAGGGGGCTTCCCATAGCTGATTTTAGGGAGCAGCATCTGAGCGGCCCCCATCTGACCCCTGGCTTGGGGAAAGGCTTACCCTGCCGGGACCAATCCCAGCTGCTTCATACCCCCCATTTGGAGCGAATGGGGGAGGCCTGGCCGGCTCTTTCTCCCCTTCCTAGGTTCTCCCCTTGCTGAGAAGAGGAAACAGCCCTTCTGTCTCCTCCTGGCCCCGCAGCCACCTCTGGGGAGTGGCCCGGGTCAAAGCCAGATTCTAGCGGGGGCTGGGGAAGGGATGGAGAAGGGGAGACTGGGCGGGGGACAATAGCAGGAAGCCCTCGGGCTGGTCGCCCGCCCCAGTCCACCTTCCTCTAAGGAGCGGGGGGGCGCGCCAAGGAGCCTCACGGAACGGGCACGTTCCCTTCTCCAAGACAGTTCCCCCCCACCCTTAGCTCTCAGCCCCAGGCTTGCTACCTACCCTCCCTCCCACCCAGCCCCCAACGAGGATAATCCAGGTGTCTAGAGCCTCGCATGAGGTGGGCCTGAGGCCAGGGGCTCTACGTGTCTCCCCCTCACTGGATCTGGGGCTCCGAGAGGGGCGGGTAGGAGAGTCTGGGCCGGGACCGGGTCCCAGAGCCACGTTAGCGGGAGGAGGGGCTGGAGGGGCCTGCAGGCGCAGACCGAATGGGGATGGGAGCGGGGGTTGGGAAGTGGAGGCGGGTCTCCGAGGCCAGGGAAACAGGGCCAGAGGCTTGGAACCGATGAGGGCGGGCCTGGGGCCAGGGCTGAGCGGGTCCGCGGGCTCGAGATGCAGTCGCCAGCTGGGCTCTCCTCCTTGGGAGACCTCGGTCTAACAAAGCCCCAGGGCGAGTGGGGTGAAGGAAGGATATGGGCACTAGGACCGGTGTTTCTCAGGGGCCCCATTCCCGACTCTATGCCCAAGCCAACCCCCTGGGAGGTGCTCAGACTCCCGCTTGCACAAGGACAGAGGTGCAGCTGTAACACCAAAGTCTGGAACGACGTGTTCCCCTTCCCATCCCTGCAGGGGCAACGAGAGGGTCCAGTTCTCCACGGGTCTCGAAGCCTTAATTTCTCTGCTGGAGAGGAAAGAGACCAGGTTTTCCACCCTCTGTACGGTGCGCGCCTCAAATAATCCCTTTCGCGCTCCCCAATCCAAGGGATGCGACTCAGAGAAGCCGGGTCGCAAGAGGTGCCCAGACCCTGCGCCCCACAGTCCCATGACGGGGCTCGGCCACGGTCCCCTCTTCCCTCCACGCACCCCAACTCCGCTGACCCTCTCCGTCAACCAAGCACACATCGCTCTGGCACCCTCCCAGGCGGGTCCCTCTGGTACTTCGGAAGCTTGCCCCCAGCCTTAGGCGCCCCGATCCTCCCCGACGCCCTGCAGCCCCAGCCCTGCTCCGGGGTACTTGCTCCGAGATCCGGGTCAGTGGAATAGAGATCTCAGCGGGCGGGCAGCGGCCGCGCACCGCGCCGAGTTCGCAATCGGTGGTTGGGGCTCTAGCGAGACGTGATGAATGTCTGAATTGGATGGAGCTTGGATCTGGGCTCCCGGGCGCTGTCAGGTCGGGTGAGCCCTGGGTCCCAGTCGCAAACCCCACTCCCGCCGCGGCTCCGCGGAGGAAAACAATGCGACCGCCCGGAGCTCTGGGCCGGGCCCCAGCCGCCCCGCCCGCCTCCTGGCCGGACCCGCCTCCGGCCCGCCTCGGGGTCTGCACAACTAATCCGACTCTCGGAGGCCGGCTAGACACCGCCTTCTCGACACCTCTCCACCAATAGCCCTCGGAGGAGGAGGGGCGCCAGGAGCACCGCCCACCGAGAAGGCCTGGCCGGGAGGTTGAGCCGGAGACCAAAGCCAGGCGCGAGATCCACGGACAGTCGCTGAGACCCGGACAGAGGAGGGGGTCACACGCTTTAACATGGAGAGGCCCTGGGGAGAAATCTCACAACAAGAGAGGAAGGAACAGCAGCTGGGAGGAGAGACAGGAAACCCGAGGACCTCGGCTGGGCTGGGCTGTCAGAGCCGGCGTGACCCTCCCTCTCTCCTTTCTCCTCTCCAATGTCTTTGGCTACCTTGCTCCTGGGTACACCTCTCCCCTACTCTGCCCCCAAACCTCTGTTCCTCCTCTCTACTCTTTTTAAATCAACCCCTTTATTTCTTCCCATGTGCCTCCTCTGGTTCATCCTGACCCAGATAAGGGAGGCCTAGCATGCACTTGAAGACTTGAGGCCTGGGAAGGGAAAGGAAGATGTCGCCAGGAAGTTTTCCTTACCCCCATCATCTCCCCTCCCACCCCTACTGTCAAAGCAAGATGGGGTTGGGCCAGTTGGCTAGGAGCTAAGGAGCCAGGAACCAGGGTGGCCAGCAGTGAGGATGTTGGTTGATGGAAGAGGACAGGTGAGTGGGGCTGAAACCAAAAGAGAGATGTGGAGATCGGGACCAACTGACCCAGAGAGTCACACAGGAAGAGGAGCAACACGGAGACCTGAAAGAGGGAAAGTAACCAGCTGCCCCAGCACCACATAGACTTACTGCCCCGCAGACAAGGATTAGTGATGTCCGGTCTTTCCTCAGAGGGCCCTGGACATCCCTCCAAACAGCAGAACTAACTGCTCCTTCTCCATCCCCACCCTCCATAAAGACCCTTTGATTCCAGGAATGTCAGTGGGGAGGAAGAATGAGGCTACTTCAAACATCACTGCTTGGCTCCCACCTGCTAAGATTCTTCCCTGTGTGGGGACTGGGACAAAAGACGTTCTCAAAATTTCTAGGATAGTGGGTGGCATGGGAGACATTGAGATTATTGGATAGTTTTATATCTAAGCGGGCACACACACACACACACACACACACAAAAACATGGCCTGGTCTCTGGACTGAAGGAAAAGAGGGGCAGGGGTTTGCTACTTCCGGACAGTCTTTAATGGACTGAGATCAGGGTGGGTAGCATCACTGACTGGGCTAAGCCCCAAAGTAAGCAAGAGATATAAACATATACACACACAATCACAGAGACAGAAATGGAAGGTGAACCAATGAGATAAACAGAATCAGAAACAATGGAACAATACTTACACAAAGTTAACTGCAGGGGGGTCTTGGGTCCAATGTAATTCAGTGGTCAGTCGGGGCTGTTTTAAAGGCTGGAAAGAGGTTTTTGGGAGAAAGACACCTCAAAATATAGAGGCACTCAGAGATTGAAAGAAATGTCCCCAGCTCCTAGCACAGGGCTTAGATATTAAAATATGTGCTTATTGAATAGATTAGTGAATGGGGATTAAGGTATAACTCATTTAAAGTTTTAGGGTCCAACTAAAATCTCAATTCAATCCAATACATATTAAGCACTTACTTCAAATACAACCCACTGTGGGATATAGTCCCAGTCTTTAAGAAAATGACCATGTATTTGAACTAAAACAAGACTTATATGTACTAAATGATTAAAAAGCAATACCAAGGGACTTCCCTGGTGGCGCAGTGGTTAAGAATCCGCCTGCCAATGCAGGGGACACCTGTTCGAGCCCTGGTCTGGGAAGATCCCACATGCCGTGGAGCAACTAAGCCTGTGCGCCGCAACTACTGAGCCGTTGTGCTACAACTACTGAAGCCCACGCCTGTGCTCCACAACAAGAAAAGCCAATGCAATGAGAAGCCAATGCACCACAACAAGGAGTAGCCCCCACTCGCCACATCTAGAGAAAGCCTGTGTGCACCAATGAAGACCCAATGCAGCCAAAAGTAAATTTAAAAAATAAAAATAAAAAAATACCAAGTCTCAAAAAAAAAAGCCCCGCCCCAAAGCTACATTGAATGTAATTCATAAATGAAAGAAAAGACAATAAGTGCTCTTCATAATAACTGCAGGGAAAGATGTTGGATACATTTTATCACGGAGGCAGGGAGAACTTTGGTGGGAGTTGGCTTGGTGCAAAAGAAAGGAGAAAATCTTCCAAAGAAGATACTTTCAGCAAAAGCTTTTACTTGGTAAACATGGAGCCTGAAGCATGGATAGCAAAAGGGCCTGTGTGATTGATATGTAAGAGAGATACTAGTTAGAAGCAGAGGACAGGGGAAGAGGGAGACAAACTATGGAAGGCCTGGAATACCAAGGTGAGTAGGTTAAAAAATTTGATAGGAAAAGGACATAATTTCGAGTTCTTGAATAAAGGTTTTACTGTCAAAATGCTTTATTTTAGCAAGATAAGGAGACCTTCTGGTGAGAAAACAGGAAGGTTCAAGGATGAGGGGAGAGAGGCAGTGAGACAAGGATGGTGGCATTGGGTATGGAAAGAAATGGAAGAGCCTTAGAGCTGTTTCAAAGGACAAATCCTACTCCCCAGGGTCTTCTGGAGAAAATCACAGTCCCACAGATTGGAGCCTTTAATAAACTCAGGATCTCCAAGCTTGGAAAATTACCCTCTCCCAACCCCTACAAGTAGCTGTGTGAAATCCTTTCTCAAGTTCCTTTCCTCACAGCTTCCTTGCTCATCTTAGCAGAACCCACATCCATCTTCAGAGAAAAATAGAGATAATAAAGTGAGCATCCTACCCACATTTTGCCCTCTAGAGCATTCTCACATCTCTCTCATCCCAGCAGGTGGGGCATCTGTACTGCTTGTCTAAGGTTCACCTTTTGGCTTTACTGTAAGCTCCATTCACACAGGGCCCAGCAGTCTAGTCTCTCTCACCGCAGTTATCCTTTGCAGTCAGCACAGTGCCTGGCACATTGCAGCTATTAACTAGTAACACATTGGTTGAACAAATCTGACTCTATAGCTCCTACTTAGGTGCTTTATGCCACATGTCTTCATATAATTTCTCCTTCCTTTATTTCTAATCTCTCCTTTTCTACTGACATCTTCCCTTCTGCATATACACATGCTCAAATATCTCCCATGATCAAACGAAAAAAAAATTCTAAACTTTCTCTTAATCCTTGCCTGTATTTAGTCAACACTCAATTTCTCTCTTTCCTTCACAGCTAAATTTGTAGAGTCATCTATTCTTGCTGTACCCATTTTTTCCCCCTTCTCAATCACTTCTCAATCATTTTCGTTTTGGCCCCCCATCACTCCATTGAGATTGTTCTCATCCAGGCCACTAATGACCTCCTTGTCACATTCAATGAACAGCTCTTCAGTCTTTATCCTTTGGCCCTCTTTATGGCATTTGGCCCTGTTGACCCTTCCTTCCTTGAAATACTCTCCTCTTTTGGCTCCTGAGTCCCTCTTTCTTTCAACAAAGACTACGGACTTAATAGATACATTTTTTAAATGAATAAATGGCTTCACTTCTATTGATGTGGCCTCTCTTTCTCAGCCTTTCTGACCTCTCCTTAAATGTTGGTGTTTCCTAGGTCATGTCCTTAGCTACCTCTTCTTGAGCTCTAAACTCACTTTTATAATTGCTTATTGGATACTTCCATTTGGATTGTCCATAGGTACTTACCACTTAGTCTAAGGACAGGAAGCTTGTCTCTTATCTTTGTATTCCCAGCACTTAAGTCATAATGCCTGGCATATAGTAAATAGAGGAAGAAATAAATGCACCAAAGATGAAAGCTACCTCCAGCTATGTCAGGCTGAAGTCTTGCTTAACTGCTTCAAATCACACTGAACTTTTTCTTTCTGAACTGATATGGGAGTACTGGTCCTAACCATGGTAAAACCTCAGCTGAGCAGAAACATAGGAATGTTCCATTCTGAGTATTTTTCCAGATAGTTTGATTTTACCAAATTAAGTGCAAAACATTTTCATGTTAACTGTTTCAAATAGGGATTATTCAAAAAGATGTTGTTAATTTCCTGTGGATTATATAGTGGAAAGACCACAACTAGGATTCATTAAGACCCTGACTGACCTTGTAAGATAAACCACTTTATCTCTAAGGCAGAGTCTCTCACCTGTGAGTGGACACTTTACCTGCCTACTTACTTCACAAGATGAAGTAAGATAACGTAGGTGAAATGTTTTGTAAATCTCAAAGTGTTTCACACATTCAAGACATCATTTAACCAGATTTTTGCTTGCTCAGAGGAAGCACTGTGAACTTAATTGTCCAGGTGAACAGTGAGGACCCCAGAGTCTAGAATATATGTAGTTAAGACTGTTTGCTCCTCCTCCACATGGCCAGAAACGCTGCAATTTTCAATTGTCGGCTTTTTTGTTTTCCTTCTCTTCCCTTGTTATTTGTGTTAATTCTCATTGTTATCAGTGTTCTTCCTTCTAAAAGCTCCTCTTTCCTCTTTTAATTTGCTACTAATTATATGCTGTGGGTTCAGAGAAGATTACTAGAAATGGGTATTGATTAAGAGAAAATAAAAGAAAGACTTCCCCATGAGTGAAACAAACGAACATTATTGCATGTGACTGTTATGTTGCTACCATTTCCCCCTTATCTCCTGGTTATTGGATGTGTTTTGAATTTCTTGTTTCAGCAAACATTTATTGAGCACAGTAGTGCCAGGCACTAAAGCATAACCGCTGCCCTTATGGAGTTTACAGCCTAGTAGGGAGGCAGTTAATAAAATCACAAATTACAATGAAGAGTAATTATCATGATAAGGGAGGTATGTCGTTCTACAGGACTATGGAATACAGGGGTGCTGTGTAGTTTAGGGAGTCACGATGGCTTCACAGTCATGATGGCTTCTGATGACTTTCCAGCTGAGGCCTGAAGGATGGGTAGGAATTAACCAGGCAGGGCAGAGGTATCCATGGGAAGAAAGTTCCAGGCAGAGACACAAGAAGTGGGAAAGTCTAGAGTACAGGAAGAGGGAGAAGGAGAGGGAGAGAGAGAAGCCAACCATGATGCATATTGGAGGAGCTGAGAGGATTACAAAACAGCTAGAGCAGAGTATAAGGCAAAGCTGAAGAGGTAAACAGGTAAGGAGCTGGTAGCAGAATTCTGGATTCAGAAGGTATTACTGTATTTGCATCTTCTTGTACATTAATTCCTCTTTTATTATCCAATTAGATTATATATTTCTTTTAAAAAGGACTTTTACTTTTCCTGTGATTTTGGTAGTGCCACCTACTATTGTTCCCTGAATGTGTGATCAGTGAATTAATAGAGCGTATAGGAATAGAATGCTGCCACATTCATTATAAGGTTGAAGTTATTACCTCCTAACCTTGTGAGGTAGTTGTCAGAAAAACCATAGGCTTGGAAATCACACAGGTCCTCAGTCTGCCATTTATTAGCTCTCTAATTTGGGAACAGGTTATCTAACCTCTTTAAGCCTCAGTCTTTTTCATCAGCGAAAAGGAGATAGTGACATTTAGTTCATAGAGGTATCAGAGGATGAAGTGAGATACTTATATAACATCTAGCAGAGTGCACCCAACAAATGCCAGCTCCAGTTCTTTCCTCTTGCTTCCCTCCCCTGAGCTCTCAGTCCATTCTTTTCCATCTGCCCCCACACCTTGCTCCATAAACATTACCTCTCCTTTGCATTTTCTAAGCCTCCCTTTCCACTGGCTCCTTCCTTTCAGCCTACAAATGGCCTCGAACTCCAAGCTAAAAATAGTCCCTCTGTCAATCCAGTTTCCCATTCCCTTAAGCTACCTTTCCATTTCTCTTCATCCCTTTACCACCATACTCCTTAAAGGAGTTGTTAACATTTCCCAAACCAAGTTGTATCAAGGACCCTCAGCTCTGGAACCTGGGCTGAGAGAGGTGGGAATAAGAAAGGAGCCAAGGAGGAGAACCAATGGTTTTGGAGTCACTGGTATGCTGACTGCCTCCACTTCTGAACTTCAATCTTTACTCTTCAACTTTTCACAACCGGACAATGTTCCAATTCTTCCCTTTCTGTTAGAACTTCTTATAAAACCACCAGCTCTCAAGGTCTCTCACTGGTTCTCATACTGTGCTTAAGCAAGCTATACCAGTGATCACTTCCTTTTAAGCATGCCCTTTCCTCAGCTAAAATTTCACTGAAGCCTCTAACCTAGTCCCACTGGGCTAATGATTTCACTCCCCCGATCAAAAACCTTTAATGTCTCCCTACTGTCTACAGCAAAAGTCTGAAGTGTTGAGCAACTCCCTTAAAGCCTTTCATGATCTGGTCTTTTTCCTTCTTCACTTTTTTTCAAACAACCTATGCTCCAGTCATACAGAATAAATCACCACTTCCTGAACATGCCCTGTATTATCATTGTTTGCTCTATGGCTTATGCTTATCTCCATTATCTGGGAAGCAGAAGCATTTCTTCCACACTCTGCCTAGTAAGTAGTTAAATCCATCCTTCTAAGTCCACCTCTTCAGCCCTCCTATCAGAAATAATCTAAATTTCTCTTTACTCTCATAATTCCTTAAACTTCTGTTACAGCTAATGACATCATTTGACTTGTATTACAGTTATGTGTGCTTACATTTATCTCCCTGACCAGGCTGGGAGATAAATGTAAGCACATTTCTTTTTTTCTTTTTTTTTGGCCGTGTGTGCATGCGGGGTGTTAGCTAGCGAGGCATGTGAGATCTTAGTTCCCTGACCAGAACTGAACCTGCACCCTCTGCGTTGGAAGCATGGGGTCTTTTTTTTTGGAAGCGCGGAGTCTTAACCACTGGACTGCCAGCGAAGTCCCTGTAAGATTCTTTCTTTAAAAAAAAAACAAAAACTTCTTTTTATACATTTATTTATTTTTGGCTGCATTGGGTCTTCATTGCTGCACATGGGCTTTCTCTAGTTGTGGCGAGTGGGGGCTACTATTCATTGCGGTGCACTGGCTTCTCATTGCGGTGCACCGGCTTATTGCGGTGGCTTTTCTTGTTGCCGAGCATGGGCTCTAGGCGCTTGGGTTTCAGTAGCTGTGGAACGCGGGCTCAGTAGTTGTGGCTCGTGGGCTTAGTTGCTCCGCGACATGTGGGATCTTCCCGAACCAGGGCTCAAACCCGTGTCCCCTGCATTGGCAGGTGGATTCTTAACCACTGCGCCACCAGGGAAGTCTCTTACCTTCATTCTTTTTTTTTTTTTTTTAACATCTTTATTGGAGTATAATTGCTTTACAATGGTGTGTTAGTTTCTGCTTTATAACAAAGTGAATCAGCTATACATATACATATATCCCCATATCTCCTCCCTCTTGCGTCTCCCTCCCACCCTCCCTATCCCACCCCTCTAGGTGATCACAAAGCCCTGAGCTGATCTCCCTGTGCTATGCGCTGCTTCCCACTAGCTATCTATTTTACATTTGGTAGTGTATATATGTCCATGCCACTCTCTCACTTTGTCCCAGCTTACCCTTCCCCCTCCCAGTGTCCTCAAGTCCATTCTCTAGTAGGTCTGTGTCTTTATTCCTGTCCTGCCCCTAGGTTCTTCATGACCATTTTTTTCTTTTTATTTTTTTTTAGATTCCATATATATGTGTTAGCATATGGTATTTGTTTTTCTCTTTCTAACTTACTTCACTCTGTATGACAGACTCTAGGTCCATCCACCCCTCTACAAATAACTCAATTTTGTTTCTTTTTATGGCTGAGTAATATTCCATTGTATATATGTGCCACATCTTCTTTATCTATTCATCTGTCGATGGACACTTAGGTAGCTTCCATGTCCTGGCTATTGTAAATAGAGCTGCAATGAACATTGTGGTAAATGACTCTTTTTGAATTACGGTTTTCTCAGGGTATATGCCCAGGAGTGGGATTGCTGGGTCGTATGGTAGTTCTATTTTTAGTTTTTTAAGGAACCTCCATACTGTCCTCCATAGTGGCTGTATCAATTTACATTCCCACCAACAGTGCAAGAGGGTTCCCTTTTCTCCACACCCTCTCCAGCATTTTTTTCCCCCAGCATTTCTTGTTTGTAGATCTTTTGAGGATGGCCATTCTGACTGGGGTGAGATTAGTATATGTGCTGCCGAAGTGAGCACTACCTTCATTCATAACGTGTTAGCAGCTATAAAGCACAGTGAGAGCGCTGCCTCTAGTGGTTCAATGATGTGCTGACACCTGCTGGTCATATCTAGTTCGGCAGCCCTGACCCCAGCACCTTCGTCTCTCTTAAGTATTAAGGGTGGGGAACCCCCTTACCCAGCCAGACGCTGAAAGCGTATGCTCGTGGTAATGTCTCCCCACAGCACCACCCACCCCTGGACACTCCAGGGACACACTCCGACCTCCTGATCTCTAACTTGCCTCTGGTGTCTCCAGTCTAAGCTCAGTTCAATCTTCACAACTTTCCCCACGGACCCCCCACCCCAGCAATCTGTACTTAACATTTTCCCCATTACCACAGACATATAAGGAGAACAAGATCTCAAGGAACTGGGCAGCAAGGATAGAAAGAGGCAGACAACTTGGGAGCAGGAGATGTACAATTCCTCTTCCTCACCTCAAAGAATCAAGACTATTTCCTATAGAGTGCTATTCCTTTTGACCTTTTATTTCTAGGAGGCTGTCGGGGTCATAGACCTTCTTGGTGACAGTGTGATGAAGGGAGGTTGAGCACAGAGTAGGTAGGCGGGGCTTAGGGGTGGGGCCAGGCCAAAGGGCCTCTCACTTAGGAGCTTCTCCATTCTGTCAGCTCTCCCGGAACATCCAAGGCAAGACTGGCACCCAGGGAGCAGCAGGTGAGGGACCAGGCAATGACAGAAGGGTAGGCTTTAGGGGTGATGGTGGCAGAAGAGTCCTAGCTCTGTCAGCCTGAGCTTTCCATATTGTGAGACTCTCATTTGATAGAATTCTTGAGCCCCCAGTGGGGAGGTCCAGCTCAGTTCTTCCTGGGGACAGGCAGCCTCAGTAAGACATGGTTTGGTTTGGGTGGGGGCAGGGCTGAGGGATGGCGGTGGATAAGGGTATGTGAGAGACTACTGAGAGGTGCAAGGAGATCTTAGGAGACATGGAGGTAGATGTAGGGGCCAGCAGGAGAGCATGGCCAGAGGGCCACAGGGCAGGACTCAGACAAGAGAAAACAGGAGACTGAAACACGGAGAGGGGGAGAGGACAGTGGACAAAACGTGAGATGGCAACGGGGGCAGTGGAGAGCTGGGTAGCAGGAAGACCAAGGAGGAAGGAAGGCTAACATGGAGCAATCTCCTCTTCCGGATGTACAGCGTGGTCCAGAAAGCCCCAGGCAAAGCCGGGAGCAGAGCAAGGTTCCAGATTCCCACTGGACCGATTCAGCTGGGGGAGAACCACCCCTCCTCCCAGTTACCCACCTCCCCTGCTTCTTCAGGCTCCTATTTCGTTTGGGGGAGAGGGCAAGGCTGCTCCTCACTGCGGTCAGAGCCACATCCTGCAGAGCAGGGGAGGGGGAAGTAAGAAGCAAGACAAGCAGAACCACCACAGGCGAAGACCACGGGGAGAGCGCCCTGGATACTTGCAGCTGATGTGCCGCCAGGAGGTCCTCAGCACAGTCCCAGCAGAGGACCTGAGACCTCTAGGGCTGTCTTGAGGTGCTTGTTTTTCATGATTCCTCAGTGTGCTTCAACCTCATTGAGCGCATTCCAAGGGAAGGAGGCTTCTTTGGATTATATGGTTCAAAGCCCGCTTTTATCATTTGCTAATGACTTTAGCCAAGTTGCTTAATTTTTCTTAGTTTCATTTTTCTCGTTGCAAATTGGGGATACCTACCTTACAAAGGGTTGGGAAAACTGAGATAAAGCACTTGGCACATAATAGGTTCTCAATAAATGTTCATTATTATTTTTGTCAGGACTCCCAGGACCCCTATATTTCTCACGTCTTTAAAGGCAGTACAGCACACTAGCTGACATGGGCTTTTGGAGTCAGAAAAACAGTTGTGTTTGACCTTGGGTAAATTATTTAACGTAAGCTTCAGTTTGCTCAGCTGTAAAACAAGGATAGTAATACCTACACCTCACAGATGTACGGTACCCAGGCAGTGTCCAAAAATGGCAGCTGTGAGAACTATCTGCCAGGTAAGCTTTATCTTCTCCACTGTAATAGTAACAGCCTACTTCCCCTGAGGTCTTAACTTGTGGTGCGCTAGCGTCCGGTGTGCCCTCATTCCTCCAGCCAAAGCTATTACTGCTCCTCTGGTTTTAGAGATCATGATTTCCTACAGTACAAAAGGAGAAAAAATGGAAACAAAGCACAGAGGACTGAGGGGGCCCAGGGGGAGAAAGATGACAAATAAAGATGAAGATGAGATAGAAACCAAAGAGACAGAAAGGGGAAAAGCCATTTCTAAGGAAGCCTGTGGCCTTTCTTCTAGTGACGACCACATACCCTCCCATCTAACCCTTCCCTAGGAATCATGGAGTCCTTCAGTTCAAAGAGTCTGGTGCTGCAAGCGGAGAAGAAGCTGCTGAGTAAGATGGCAGGTCGATCTGTGGCTCATCTCTTCGTCGATGAGACGAGCAGCGAGGTGCTAGACGAGCTCTACCGTGTGTCCAAAGAATACACACACAGCAGGCCCCAGGCCCAGCGGGTTATCAAGGACCTGATCAAGGTGGCCGTCAAGGTGGCCGTGCTGCACCGCAGTGGCTGCTTCAGCCCCAGCGAGCTGGCCTTGGCTACCCGCTTTCGCCAGAAGCTGCGGCAGGGCGCCATGACCGCACTCAGCTTCGGCGAGGTGGACTTCACCTTTGAGGCTGCTGTGCTGGCCGGCCTGCTGACCGAGTGCCGGGATGTGCTGCTGGAACTGGTGGAGCGCCACCTCACACCCAAGTCACATGGCCGCATCCGCCACGTGTTTGATCACTTCTCTGACCCAGGCCTGCTCACGGCCCTCTATGGGCCTGACTACACTCAGCACCTTGGCAAGATCTGTGATGGGCTCAGGAAGCTGCTGGATGAGGGGAAGCTCTGAGAACCCTGACCCCGGCCCGTTCCTTCTTGGCAAAATGGCTGACTGAGAAAAAAACAGATAATGGGCTTTCTAACCCGCTCATCTGCACTAATGCTTTTCAACCCTCAGGTTTCAGTCTTTCCCAAGAGTGCCTGTGACTCTGAGACCACCCCGTGCCCAACTGCTGGTGGAGAAGAAGCGATGCTGAGGGTTGAGGCCTCTCTCCTACTCCAGCCCCAAGACAGGAAACAAAACTGCCTGAAAAAGATGAAGCGAAACTTGGATCTCTATTTTCCCCACAAGGGACCTTTCAAACAGGGAAGCCCCCTCCCCTCAGAACCAGGGGAAGAGGGCGTAGCCCATCTCACTCCTCTGGGGACACTAAAGACAGGCGGCGCAGGGAGCCTTTAGAGATATCCTAGACCTTCAGTTCTAGGCGGAGTCTGGACAGATACCAGAGACTCTGCTCCAGAGGGCAGGAAGAAGGGGCTAGGGCAGGGGAGAGTCTCACAGAGGAAATAAAACTATTAAAACATGCACAGGGCTCAATGTTTAATCTCTCCAGCTTCTTGTATCTTATGATCATCACAGAGGAAAGAGGTATATAAACACCACTCATCTCACCTCTCACCATTTCCATACAGGAGACTGAGGCATATTTCCAGCATCACCGGGGTTCCCTTGCCTACTTCTTCTGTTTAAGAAACTCAAAAAAAACTGTACCGCAGATCAGTGCTACAAATTGCAAATAAATATGCAGTAAGGAGCAAGACATAGATCAATAGGCTCTGGTTGGGAGAGGATATAAGAAAAAGACTCCCACAACTGTCCTCCTCTTCAAACTCCACGGCAATTCTTCTTCCATCCCTTAGCCTCACACAGGCTGAACAGAGGAGCAGATTAGAAGGGTGAACTGGTGGCATGGAGAGTTCAGGACCCTACATAGCTGTTTTTTTCTCAGAGCAAGAGTTGTGAAAAAGTTATAGTGACCTGGTTAGTCAAGACTGAGCCCAAATTCTTCCATTTGAGATCGGGGGCGAGGCACAGTCTGCCATTCCCTGCAGCAGTGCTAGATCACTGATTGCCCGTTCTCAATAACATGGCTGGCTAAGAAGGCGGGGAAGGTGGGCCAGGAGTCACTGGCTCACTTACTGTTCCTGGGTTCCCCTCATCCCAGGGCTATAGAAATCCCGTTTTTCAGCTAATAGTGGGAAAGAATAAGATATAGCAAATAAATAATACTTCAATATAGCACCAAATAAATTAGATAACATAGTTGGAGATGGGGAGGAAGTTCGGGGCTGTGAGAGTCCCTGCCTCCCTGCTCTAAGGCCAAGGGATGGTGAAAGGGATGGGAAAGGCAGCAGGGATGTTAAAAGAGCCTTTTGAATCTAAAGGACAACCCTAGATTCAGCCCCAGAACTGAGAAGGGGTTCTATTTCCCATCCCCTACCCTTGCCAATAGAACTGCTCCAGACCAAGGAACTCCTGACGGACAAGTAGGCTCGGAAGATGGCAGGAGTAAGGGAGGTGGGCTGGGAGGCCATGTTCCTGAGCCTCACCTCAGGCTCCTCTCTCCCTCAAGTTGCTCCTTCAACATCTGGCTTCTCTCAATCAGTTCTGGAGACATCAGAGTTTGAAGATTTCATCCTCCTGGTCCCGAAGTGTCCGGGTCCGAGAGGTCCGGGTCAGCGGCACAGGACCTAGGACTGCTCGTTGCTGCATCCGAGGAGAACTCAGGTGAAGACCTGAATCCTCCCCAGGTATCCTGCAGGTGAGGAAAGGGGGAAAGAGCGACAGATCAAGGGAAGAGGCTGAGACTAGGCTGAGCGAAGAAGTACGTGGGAAGCTGTCCTTCTCTAATATACATGAGCTGGTTGCCTTAAGATGGAGTCTCAGTACCCTCTGGATAAATCCTAATCCTAATGCTCCTTCGTGGACCATCAGAGCAGTAAGAACAGTCAACTATTTCACTCCACTGAGAACACAGAACCATTACCCAGTGCCTCTACCCATTCCAGCAGCCATAGGCTCTGCTCATTGTCTTGCGGCCACCTGAGGGAAAGGCTTCACCTTGCTTCTGCTGACACTGGAATTACTTACTTTGTGTCTGGTCAGGTATGGTTGGGGGAACAGAGAGTCTATGGACGGACTTAAAAGGACCCATTCAAACTTCCCTGGTGGCACAGTGGTTGGGAGTCCGCCTGCCAAGGCAGGGGGCACGGGTTCGAGGATCCCACATGCCACGGAGCAACTAAGCCCGTGTGCCAAACTACTGAGCCTATGCTCTAGAGCCCACAAGCCACAACTACTGAGCCCACGTGCCGCAACTACTGAGGCCCATGTGCCTAGAGCCTGTGCTCCGCAACGGGAGAGGCTGCCGCAGTGAGAGGCCTGCGCACCGCAGTGAAGAGTGGCCCCTGCTCGCTGCAACTGGAGAGGAGGGCCGCGTGCAGCAATGAAGACCCATTGCAGCCAAAAATAAATAAATAAAATAAAAATAAATTTAAAAAAAAAGAAATAGAAAAAATAGTTTATAAAAAAAAAAGGACCCATTCAAGACTCACCCACTTTCTCCCTTTTTCAGCTTCTGGGCAGCAGCCTTCTTTGACAAGCTGATCTGTGAATCAAGCTTCTTAAGGAAATCAGAGGCAGAGAGGTCGTGAATGGGGGGCTCCTGGCCAGCTGTGGGAAGGACTTCACCATTGGCACGTCCCGAACCTGTCTCTTGTTTCTTCCTCACAGCTGAGTGTGGCCCAACTTCATCCTTACTTGGCTGTACCTCTTCCTCTCCATCCTTCTCTTCCTCAGAATCCAAACCATTGAACAGGTCTCTGGGCTCTGTCAGGATGGGGATGTAGAGGGTTTTCTTCAGGAAGATCGAGTCATTAGTATAAAGGCGGTTTGCACGCTTAATCTGTTCCATCTTTAAAAAAAAGTCACCACAGTTAATGACAGTAATAACAATCCATCTTATATTTGTATAGCACCTCATGCTTTTTAAAGTGATTGTACAAAGTCTTATCTGACCCTATAACAACCAAAACTACAGTGGGCTGATATTATCCCTATTTTATTGATCAGTAGCTTTCATACTTTTTGGTCCTAGGGCCCCTTTACATTTAAAAAAATTATTGAAGAAAAAAGCTTTTACTTATGTTGATCACATCTATCAATATTTAAGGTATTATAAAATTAAAACTGAAAAAATTTAAAAACACTTCCATTACATATTAACATAAATATTTTGATGAAAAATAACTATATTTTCCAAAACAAAAACAACAAACATGTAGCAAGAACAGAGGCACTGTTTTACATTTTTGTAAATCACTTTAATGTCCGACTTAATGGAAGACAACAGGATTCTCATATCTGCCTCTACATGCATCTGCTGCAGTAACACATGTCACGTAGCCTCTGGAAAACAGTACACTCATGAGAATAAAAAAGACAAATAAAGTCTTGTTATTATTACCATGAAAATTGTTTTGACCTTGTGGATCCCTACAGCGTCTTAGGGACCCCTAGGGGGTCCCTTTAACTACTGTTAAAGATGAAGGAACTGAGGTTCAGAGAGGTTAAATTACTTGCCTAGCAAGTTACTGACAGAGATAAAACTAGAATTCTGGGCCTTTTTACTCCTTCCAGGAATGCTTTTCTTATTATATTAATAATTTCACTGATCAAATATTTATTTAGTACTTATTTATTCATCACTGAACATAGTGACTGACATCACCATCTCTATCTACCTGCCTCCCAAGGTAGAAATATCAATGTCATCCTTAACTCATACTTTTCTTTCATGATCCAGACCTAACAGGTCAACAAAAATGCTGTAAAAATCTCTCACATCTGGTCTCATCTTCACATTCATTGCCATTGACTTAGAACAGACTCTTAATATTTCTCATCTGGGTACTGTAACAGTTTTTGTTTTGTTTTCTATAAATGTATTTATTTTTGGCTGTGTTGGGTCTTCGTTGCTGTGCTCAGGCTTTCTCTAGTTGTGGTGAGCGGGAGCTACTCTTCACTGCAGTGTGTGAACTCTTCTCACTATGGTGGCTTCTCTTGTTGCGGAGCATGGGCTCTAGGCACGCGGGCTTCAGTAGTTGCAGCACGCAGGCTCAGTAGTTGTAACTCGTGGGCTCTAGAGCAGCACAGGCTCAGTAGTTGTGGCACACGGGCTTAGCTGCTCTGTGGCACGTGGGATCTTCCTGGACCAGGGCTCGAACCCGTGTCCCCTGCATTGGCAGGTGGATTCTTAACCACTGCACCACCAGGAAAGCCCCAACCCGCTACCTTGCTTATAAACCTTCTATGGCTCCCCATTGGCTCAGAGATAAAATCCAAATTAGCAGGACTTCTCTGGCAGTCCAGTGGTTAGGACTCAGCACTTTCACTCACAGGGCCCGCATTCGATCCCTGGTCGGGGAACTAAGATCTCACAAGCCACGTGGTGCGGCCAAAAAAAATATCCAAATTAGCATTCAAGGGCATTCTCAATCTAGCTCTCATAGGAAGTCCACCCACACCTCCCTTCTTATGCCACTTATACATTTTGCCATCCTGAACTTTTTATTTTTCTTCCAACATTTCATGATCTTTCACCTTTTTGTGTCTTTATCTGCCTGGAATGTTTCTCCACTACTCCCTTCTCTCCCTGGAAAACTTCTCATCAACTATCATTCCCTTTGTGTTATCTTCTTCAGGGCTCCCAATGCATACTGTAAATATTGCTGTAATAATACCTACCCTATTATATTGTTATTCATCTCTTTGCATATTTGTCTTGCCCAAACTGTGAGTCCTTTAAGGGCAGGGTTGGTGACTTGCCGTCTCTGTATGCCTAAGGCACTCTTCAGCATTGCACAAACTTGGCACACAGCAGAGGCTCATTAATGCTTTATGAGTAAATAAACTAGATAATAAAATATAGGAACCACAGACACAGTATGTCAGTATTTTATTATTCGAGGCCAGGCAGCCAGTTTTACTAAAAATTCATCCCATAATGGCACCAGTTTGGGAAATCATAATTCTTATATCTGTCAAATATCAAAGCTGTTTCCACTCTAGGGCAAGACTACTATAATAAAGTTGACTTATAAAATCTTATGCTATAATGAGTTTAAAAATAAAATTGGATTGATCTAACAATAAAAAAAGTTAAAAATGGCTTGCAGTTTTGTACTTTTTCTTCGCCAAGTGCTTTGATGCTATTCATTTTATTTTGCCTAGATAATATCCTAGGTCTCTTTTGTCTCGATAATATCCTAGGTCCTTTTCTGTTGCTTTTATTATTTCCTAGCAGTACCATATAAGGGGACATTGTTCCACTTCCATCGAGCCAAGAGCTAGAAAGGTCATTAGAATCTAGTTAGTTTAATAGAGCAATTCAAAGTGAGGATTTTAGAATGAGACAACCTGGTCTGAATCTTAGCTCTACTAATTAGACTAGTTGTATTTACTCTATGGCAAATTATCTCTCTAAGCTTCAGTCCCTTATCTTTAAAATTTTATTTTTATTGAAG